TGATACCTTTTTTAGAACTTTCAAACACCATAAGTTCAAGAAAAAATATTTTACAATAAGTACTAAATATATATATGCTGTAAAAACACAATTACTTTGAATTATTATTAGTCAGAGAGGTTTATTTATAATTATTACTTTTATTTATATGAATAACAAAAAACATTTTTATAATAAATGTATTTGTTAGTGAAAAAAAGAATAAAGAAGTAAAATAAATATTCAGCTTTGAATATTTTTTTATGGAATGTTATCTCAACATGTCTAACATCAAAAAAAGAAAACATGGTATAAAATTAAGTAATTAATATAAAAAACATATTATTCTAGTTCTTAAAAATTTAGCCATTTTTTCGAAAATATAGAAAAAATAAGAAACAGTCAAAATTATTATAAGTCAACTTGTTAAGTCTGTATATATATATATATACGCATTGTTACCTTTCTACGCATAATTAGAATCTACACATGCCTGAAACATGTATATATTAGTCTATTAATGAAGTTTAAATCATCGAATTTCGAGATTTTTACGAACAATATTAATTGAAATTTGTTTGAACGAACATATAAAACTTTCATTTCAACTCGATTATTTAAAAATTCGCACTTGCATGTCCAATGGGATGCTCTATATTAGTGGTTGGAAAAACTTTATTATTTTTGTAGTTTATGCTACTTACAACTACTTTGTTACAAATGTAGTTAACTACAACTGCAAAAACTTTTTTTTAAATACAGTGACTACAAACTACCTTCGAAATGTAGTCACTACTTTAAGGAACTGAATTTAAAATAGTGAAACTTTGGCTTGGACCAAAGTTAAAAAATTTGGACCAAGCCTAAAAGCAAATTTTCAAAATTAAGAATTTTTTGTTAATAGATTGGCAGCATGAATGCTGAAATTATTGCAGTTTTGTTGGAGTAAATTTTATAAATAGGGTTTGCATCCATTTTTTAAATAATTTTTCGCTTGATAACTTAAACCAGGAAAAAAAAATTCATGTTTTCATGAAAATTGTTCAATCTGAAGAAAAGTTTAAGAAATCTCATATGAATTGAAATCACACGAAGAATATGCTATTTTTCTTATGATTTAAAGAAACAAAAGTATTTAGAAATTATTTCTTTTCCTCTTTTCTTTTTTTTTTTACTCAAAACAAATTTTAACATATAATGTTGCCACGTTTAGAAGTACTTTACTATCCATTTTACTTAGTTAAAAAGTGACACCTACTTTTCCATTGACGCAAATACGAATATTGTACATAAGAGATGTAAAACGTAAATGAGGACCACTTCTCTCATTGGTTCTGCGTTGATATCACTGTGATGAAGTTTAAGATCTGGTAGCTTCAAAAATCGGGCTAAGTTGGATACTTGGTATTTCTGATTTTGTGAAATTTTCAGGATATGTTGTTTATGTAAAGCCATAAGACACACGTAGTTTTAATTAGGTAACTGTATATGTTATACGCAAATCTTTTTTTTAAACCGTTGGTAAACTAAAGTGCTTCTATTGATCGCTTGAAATATACATTGGAATCAACACCTTTTGACCTGAGCCAAAATTGTTTTGGGGGGCACACTATTTCTACATGAATTTTTTTCTTTTTTACACCCTAAAAAGGCAAGAAAAAATCGTGAACATGGAATTTTCTCTTTGTGACATACTTTAAAATTGACATACTCTTTCTGACATACTCAGATAAATCTGAGCCATTTATTCATATAAAACGATTTTTACATAAATATAATATTATTATAATGTCTCTCTAACATGCATTTATAGAGATTTCGCACTATAAGATTATATTTTAGTATAAAAAACAAAAATAAGAAAATTTAATGGAAGTTCCTAAATTGAAAAAATCGGGAAAAATTTAAAATTGGTATTTTGTCATTTAAAGCATGTCACAAAGAAAAAATTTTATGTTTTAATATTTTTTCTTGCTTTCTGAGGGTGTAAAAAAGAAAAAAATTCATGTAGAAATAGCATGCCCCCCCCCCCCAAAAAAAACATTACATTTTTGTTTGGCCGCCTAATTTGCGTTTATTTGTAGAATTGCTCATATCGTAGCTTTGAAACTAACCGTAGTAAATCGAAAAATGAGATATTTGGGTCAGTTTATGTAAAAAAAAAATCACCCTATTAGAGAAACAAAGTGTTATCTTCATAGTTCCATAAAATTAATTTAAGGCCTGGTTTCTTAGCCTGTCGTCCTAAACGTCGGCGTCAGCTGGAAATCAGCGCTAACCTCTGATTGGTTTATTTGTGAGTTTGATAGTATACGTCATCGAACGCTTATCTTGAACTTCAATTGCCGTCCAACTCAACTGCAGTTGGATTACAGCGTGACGTTAACCACAGAAGCAATGGCGGACAACATCCTGTTGCACATTGAAATCAGCCAAGATTTTGATTTTGACATTAAACATAGCTTCTTCATTAAACATAGCACTCTTCATTTAGCTCAGCTATAATGTGTTTTTTCTTGAACAAAGTCATTATTTGTTCTCTAAAACACTGGTCGACAATAACAAAATCAATACAAATTCAAAATAAATATTTGTTTACGTTATTAACGCATGCGCAATGAGAGATAATG